GCAACTTTCATAACGATCCCAATGAACATTCCTTCGAGAAGGCAATTAAACAATTAAGAACCCAGGCTGAAAAGCGGCTGTTAAGAAATCCATCATGTTGAGTAGCATTGAGTTATAGACATCCAGATGAAAATAGGCTTTAACTACGCACCGCAATTGGTGTGCACTGCAATTCGAACGAATTTCAATGTAATTGTAGCAAGCCATGCAGGGTAATGGCTGTGGTTGCGAATGATATAATGAACAACAGCATAAATGGTCCTGTGACGCGTGTATGGATCGATGGTGATCGTGGCGTTTAAAAATCGGTCGCGGACAAGCAAGGTTTTTTATCATATATATGCGTATGTCATCGGAAACAATCTGAACTTTTGAGCCTCTCTGGGAACCTCACCTCTTTCCTCTCACGGCTCTATTATTTCGAGCGCCACACATTATATAGTCTCATCTCTCCACTGTACGCAGGTCTGTGAGCATGGTTCGCACAGTCCTTGAAAATTCCTTGAATTTGAGGGAAGTCCTTGAAAAGTACTTGAATTTAGTAAATGTTGATTTTGTGTTTGAAAAGTCCTTGCATTTTTAAAAAGAATCCTTGCCTGTAATAAAAAGAAATTTTCTACCATCAATAATGTGCAAACCTCAATAAGAATTGCGTTAAATGAGCTTAAAAAGCTATAGACACGATAGACAGTTAAATGATGATCACAAATTACAGTAAGCCATTAAAATCAGTCAGTAAATCAAGGTATGTTGTAGAAGTGAGTGTTTAGAAGGGTTTATTAATGTGATCCAGGTAAGTTTTAGAGGTGACATGCAGTGATTAAGAATAGGGTTATTAGGTTATTAAATTAATCCAGGTATGTTTTGTTCTGTGTATGAATTCCGATAAAATGTCTGATGAAATGTCCTTGAGTTTCCGATAAAATGTCCTTGAAAAGTCCAAAAAAATTTCAGTCCTCCTGTATGAACCATGGTGAGGGAATCTATGCGCAGGCTGTTGCTGCTCTGAATCATCATTTTTACCTGAAGTGTATAAATCAGAAACGATAGTGCATTGAAATGTTTATGTGCTGACGTCTACTGCACTGCGAATAGAAAATCGGAGTGCCGTGTACTCGCCAGTGCAGGCTGTATGCAGTGAGCGGGTTGATATGATTGTGGCATGCAGTGAAACGTCTCAGCTTGCTAAGCCTGCCTATTGAGAGTCACCGCAGGCTTGGTCTCAAGAGGCGGCCCCCCAGTCCCCGAATGCAAGTCAGGCGCGTCAAGATGCCAGTAATAAGTGGCAAAGATTGCGGGGGTCTGGCGGCAAAAAGCCGTGCCACGCATTTATTTCGGTTAGTGTTTCGACGTGGAGAGGTAGTGTAATGCAGGAGGAAGAGGAGGCAGAGGAGGAGGAGGAGCAGGAGGAGGAGGGCGATGCGGGAGGAGGAGGAGGAGGAGGGCGATGCGGGAGTATATAAATTTGGGACGCCCTCATGCCGTCTCTATCAAATTTCATCCGTTTCATCCAAGAATAGGCCGTCCAAAAGACTGGCAGACGGGTCTCTGGCTAACACACTGCGGCATTTGAAAGCCGACGGAAATGTCACGGGTCGCGAGATGCTCCCCTGGCGCTGGGTTTTCTTTAAGCAGTATGCTAATGACGATATCAATACTTTGCCGACATCATTGGCCTGCTCTTCTGTCCGCCTCCGCTCACACGGTAAACAGCTCTGACAGAACACTAGTAGATTAAAAAAAGACGTACTCGTGTCTGGCGCTAACGATGTGCCTCATTAGTATGCATGTGCTTTTGTTTATTGTTGTTGCTCCACGCATTTTATTACAACATCGTGAAAGTGTTGTCGCTATCCATTCAGCAGCAGTCAGTATTCCGAAATAATGTTCGTAATCGTAAGCGTTTTGTCTTCCATCGTTTCCTTTTGTAGTTTGACTTTGTCTTCAAAAATTTCGGCACGTCCATAGACGGCTCAACCTTACACGTCATCTGCGATTTCTCTTCGCAGTTTGCCTCGGACTTTGTCTCGAAAGTTCTTTTCAAGTCGATCCTGATTCGGCTGCTAACGCTGAAGCTGGCGACACTGCCACGGGACGACGAAGACAACGATGACGATGTAGACATGGTGGCGCCGCCTAGTCGCCCCGACATCGGCCAGCTAAACGATATCGCCACCTACAGGAAGATTCTTACCGAGGAGATACTGTCTGTCGATCGGCAACTGATCGATGCATCACGAGCCATCAGCGATGTTGCTGGTGTGTACTATTAGTGCGGCAGTACGAGTGATGCAGCAGTGTGATTAGTGCGGAAGTTAGACCGAATAATTCTGTCCCATATAACCTTTTTTATATTTTGGTGAGGGTTATATTGGGACAGAACGGGGTTCATTGAAATTTCGTGAGATCGCATGCAAAATGCATGCGCTGCTAATGCGGCCAACTTACTGTAAAATCCTTATTTTTCGTGGTGTTCTAATTTTCGTGGATTTCGGGGGTCCATCAATCCACGAATTTATGTCCCCAACGAAATATTATGTACATATGTCAATTGCCGGTTCCGGAGTGGAGGCCACGAACATGTATTTTTTATTGAAACCACGTTAATTGGAACCCACGAAAATAAGTGACTTTACAGTATAATGGAAACTATAGATACATAGATACTATAGATAGGTTGGCACATTAGCAGCAAAGACGCAACCACAATCATGCTCAACGTTTCTCGACTGTACCGCCGGCGATGACAAAGCCGTAAAGTTATTCTATAGCCATTTTTACGCTGGAGAGATAACGTGAAATTTCATGCATACACTGTACCAACTTCGCCTCAACCGCTTTTCAGAGCAGGAGTTATTACAGAGCAAAACAAACAGTCACTGTTACAGTCCACTCGAACCGTCACTTCCGCACTTGCTTTACAAGCAGTGCAAATACAGTGACATATGGCTAGGGAAACACACTGGGGGTGTGCATGCTACCACCTCTCTGGATACATACTTGGTGCTGGTGCAGCTATCGAACGAACCGCCTTGTAGGAAATTGGTTTCTTCTTGAATTTTTCTTCATCTGGTTGCCAGGCGACTTCAAACAACTCTTCCCCGTCGTTGGCTTTGTGTTCATGCACCAGACTGCCTGCATTGTACAATCGAAACACTGATGACTTCTCACTGAAATACTTGTAGGCCCTACACACCTTTACCTCACGAATGAGACATCATTTGAGCACTGAATCATTAAATTAGCTTTAGAACGAATTTTATGCTGAACAATTGCATCAGCAGGACGGGGTGTGATGGTGATGAGGGGAGGGGGAGGGGGTGGGGCGTTGGAGGGTGAAGCCGTTTATGTTGTTGTTGATCAAAGGTGGTGATGTGTGTGATGGGAGGAAGGTTTTCGAGTTTTAGAGATGAGAGTTTTACAGGGAGGAAAAATGTGATGGAAGCCATAGAAATCAGCACATGAAAAACTTCCAACTGCCACTGTGAATTTAACGAGTTAGTCCCGCTGTAAAATGTGAACGCACTAGGTTGGTTTATATTCATGCATGTCTGCTCTTTGTGAGAAATGAATCGGTACAGCACAGAAGTAGCAGAAGATCAGAAAAGTGGCGTGACCTACAGTGGTGAAGGTCAAATCTTGCCTGTTCAGGATTGACAAACTGATGCGAACCGCTATTAAGGTGGGACGAAACTCCCAGTTATAATTTTCTAGTCGAGTTATTAGTGACGATCTATTAGTAGGAACGTGATATCGTAACGAGAGACCCCAGAGCGCGCGTGCGAGATTTGTTGTACAGGCTTCTTCTGACTGCGTATCTTCTTCCTCTCACCACTGCGTGGCTGAAGCTGGGTGAAGCTGTGCGAGTAGCGGAGAGAGGAGGGAGGTGGTGGTCGGGAGAATGCTCATCGCAAGCTACGCGTGTTTCAAGGTCGCCATGCCATTCACCCGTCTGCTTGCCAGGTTTACACATCTAGGTCACTGGCTAGAGTTTCACAGCGGCATGCGAGTAGTAAAGTGCGTGTATATATATATATACGCACGCACGCGCACGCACGCACGCACGCACGCACACACAAAAACACACACAGACACACACAGACACACACAGACACACACAAACACACACAAACACACACAAACACACACAGACACACACAAACACACACAAACACACACACATACTGTCCGTATCGCAATATTCTGGCTGGTGCCACACGTCGAATGCGAGTTTGGTCTCCAGGTTTTTTTAGGCTTTTAACCAAGACACGATGAGCTAAGCACGCGACGTTTGCTTGCATTGAAGAGTACATGCCTGGCTGCGCTCTCGTTTCATTCATAGGTAATGCTGATGTGTATCACATAGGTATCGCTTGAGAGGTATCACATAGAAACATTCCTTTCACGATCGCTTTGTAGTGAAATTTTAATAGAGCATGCGCAGCATGCATTTTGTGAAGAGATACGTGTATAATAGCACTGCGTTAGCTGGACTATATAGCTTAAAAAGAGAGAGAGTGGATTAGGATATTTTTTGTCGTTTTTTTAAAACCGAAATTTTTGTCACATTTTTAATGGCACGACTATAATGTACATATACTATATAGACTTTTTATAGCACGCACAAGTAGAAAACCTTTATGAAATTCAAGTTTTATGTTACGTAGTGAATGTATTGGTGAAACAATGAAGTGTTTACTTTAAATGCGTAGAGCATTGGTTCTTAGTGTGTTTTGGCAGCGACCCAGATGCTGGTCATGAAGTTTGTTCACGCCTCTTCAGTGTATACGTAGCTACGTTCGCACAGACACTGAAGTTGCTTAGCTTGGGTGGTTGCCCTGGTTGTTAGGAACGAGTGGTTTGTAGATTTTAGGCAGCACAAATTTGTGCCTTCGCACTTATAATGGAAACTAGGTCTTATGCAGACCCGCGAGTTGTGTTGCTAAGTTAGTAGTGCAATCTAACTAAAAAGAGTATGTTGTCGTGACGGAATTAGCATACTCGACTGATCAAGCATATGTATGACCTTGTTTCTGCTGGAGTTTTAGTATAGTGGCCTGTTGAATCACCAAAGATGTGACTAGTTGTACGGGATCAGTACTATTTTGTCTTTCGCACATCTGCAGCTCGCAGTATCATTTTAGTTATGAACGGCCGCCTTATTTATTATTTATTTCTGAAATTTTGTGATCATGTGAGGTTTAGGTGGGTGCAGTGTGCAGTGGAGTTCCCTTGCATGGCTGGGGATAAATACTGATTGCAAAGAATCGTGTAGATATTGCGTATGCTTGCAGTAAAGCACACATATTATCAGCGCAGAGTGTAGATAGACGATACGGAATATAAGAATGATTATGGGATGATATAGGTCGGAGATTTTTAATTGCTCTGAAATAATCACATTCGTAGATTTGAATAGTTGCTCATGTAGAATACGTGTACTGATTAGCACTTGTCCTGTATTTATGTAACTCTGGTTTGTTTTATTCGCCCAGTTGCGGAATGTTCTGGTATGATCAAGAGTACATAACACAGGTTTTCAAGAGTACATAATAACAAATCTTTATTATAAACAAACAAGCTTATGTACTCTTGGTGGTATACAGGTGTGTGTCCTTGGGGCTGAAGACGATCAAGTCAATTTATTAACTACCTAACGCTATGGGACGTGTGTATCGTTCCATTTTATGTTGTTAGTCTTGTGAGTGCTGAATAAATGCAATATTATCAGGAGCTAATCATTATTAGCTCCTGATATTATGGTAGTGCATCTCTTTGTTGAAGGCATGCCGGAAGTACATGTACAATTAATTGACTCGGCCCTACGCTTTGTGTAAATCCATTCCTGAAATGTAAAGATGTTATGTAATACGACAATCAAAAAAGAAATATAGTATTGATGTTTAAAATTGTTTACTTTTATTGATTTATTATTACATTTCGTTGTGACTGAAAAGTTAACTTGGTATCCTACACACAACCGCTGTGTAGTTTCATCTAAAGAGCTGTTGGTTTTTTCAATTTTTTACAAAAAACCTTACTATTTTTCCCCCAGAAATGCAATGTAGAATGTGCCCTGTAAAAATCTGTTAATTAGATCAGCTTCATCTGTTCCAATAAACTACAAACAATCACCGAAGTTAAAGTTGGCATCACCAGGAAGGCATAAAGCTAGTCTATCTATTTTAGGGATTACAGTGATGCCATGGAAAATGATATAACAAACAACAGAATGTGGAAAAAACGATTTATTTTTGAAACATGCTTCTCTTCATAGTATTTCAAAATGTAACATAAATTTATTAACGTATGGAAGCATACACAAGGTAAACATACCATTAACTTGCTACAAAGGTACCATTGTGGATTTGGCACCATTCTACTAGTCTTTGCAATATTTTTTTTCTTGACATTTAGCAATGCGGTGTCAACAATCTCAAGTGGTACGAAATTTGCCAGATATCATTTACAACTCGGATTTATTTTTGCTGCATCTTTAAAACACTCATTGTGGCGTCTAGTACTTTGACTTCAAACAAGAATATCCCGTGTCAGAATCCTGAAACTGACCTCCCTCCTGTTTTTTCTCCCCTTCTATTTCACTGATGCATGCCCGTCTGCATAAAGAATCGTACGCCACGTCCGTACATGATTGAGTAACATAAGCAGTAACTAGATGAGAACATACAACACACTACACTGCTGCATGCCTGAACATTACACAGGGTTTCCCTGCAAGCACTTCCACTGCATCCCACCAGCATTCACTCTGCTGCACTACGTGAGTGGCTGACTGCGCATGCATGCTGCATCACAATTCTAACTCCGCCAATTCATTCAGAATATCCTCTTCGCTCTTTAGTTTCTCTAGCTGAAACGTGAGATGGAAGCGCCGATCACTCACTTACCCGTACTTTCAACGATGCAATTTGGATCCAAAATAAACTCTAGCCTAGATGACTTTCACACAAGAACGTGTAGTAGACTTTGTTAAAATTTCGACCTTTAAAATAATTAGTTTTTGTCTATGAATAGCAAAGTGCATGCAGTCGCACACAAAAACACATTTATTTATTAACCAACGTGATGACTGAAAGATGTTTTAAGTGCTAAAGAGCAGTAAGAAACACAGTGCTAGAATACATTTTGCAATGTTTTTTTCCGTTTAAGCCACAGTGTCAATAAACAACTGAACAAAATGTTAAATAAAAAACTTGGGACCACCATGTACGTGTAAAAGCCATTTACGACAGCGAATGCATCTGACTGTGCCGTCGTGCAGGCAACCATAATGCACCCGTAGACAGATATAATCAAGAGTAGATAATATAACATGTATATGTTAATTACTATATGTTATATTATCTACTCTTGATATAATCCATACCTGATTCTTCTCCAGAGTTTTCCCAGCAGCCTGCTGCTCCTTCAACTTGCTGATCTGATCCAGTTTCTGTGACAACACGACAGTAATACATTGTAATGATAAATTTATAATGACTGATAAATCATACTTCTCCAATTTAATGAAAATGGCCCATATAAAATGCTCTATATGAAAAAAGTACTTGGGACTGGAGGTAAGGAATACTGAAAAGGGATACAAACTGCTGACAAATGAAAAACTAGCAAAAGTGATAGCAATTATCACATCCAGCCGTGGCCATCGCATCCACCTGCGCCCCCAAAAACCCTGCATAAAAGTACACAAATATTCCTCTACACAATATGGAAAATGTTATTTTAACGCTGTAAATAAGGCCATACTAGGTTTAATCACGACGAACTTCTGATGAACTGGTCTAATCAGTTTAGGTGAAAACAATTACATACATGGGCGTAAACCCCGGGGGGATGGGGGGGATGCATCCCCCC